CCCCCCCCCCCCGCCACCTCCCTTTGCTCTTCACATTTGCCCACTCATCTGAGTAGCGCTCATAATACGTCACAGTTTGACTGTCTTTCCACCAGGGGCCCTGCCTTGCCTAAGTGTGGACTCCCAGTATCTAGCTCCATGGCTGGCACAGAGAAGATAATAGTTGGTGAATGAATGGTGAAGGAAAATGGATGTCAGAGTGCCTTGGATTGAACAGTGCTATGAGCCATAATCTTGTCTTTCCCACGACACAGAGGAGAAACTGAAGTCCAGAGAAGACACTGGCTCAACCGGGGTCAGGTGGCAAGGGGCACGGCTCTCACCCAGGATGAATGTGAAGCAGCTGCCCCAGGCTCCTTTGTTGTACCCCTGGTATTAGAAGATTTTTTCCATTCGAAAGTACTTTGGGGCAGAAGCCAGACATCTAGGTACCAGGTGGCAATGTCCCAAGGCTGAGTGATACAGAAAGAACTGTTTTGTTGTTTGGGAGACCTGGCTTCTAGCCCCAGGGCTGCTCCTAACTCATGGCATGACCTGTATTCTAGGCCTCAGTTTCCCTATCTGTGAAGCAATGCTGTTGGATAAAGTGCTGGAACACCGAGCAGAGAGTTTTAAAAACCTGATGGCCCTTTAAAAACTAGGGGTGTGAGGACACTGATGTTTAAGGGGAAAGTGGACATCACCCCATGACTGAGCAGGATGCGATATGGGTTCAGACCCCAAGTCTTACCCCCAGGTGTGCTGAGGGCACGGTGGATGAAGTCAGCTGCAGAGGAGAAGTAGGCACTGATGTCGAACTCAGGGAGGTCGTGGGCTGGCACCCCCAGGTAGCTCACAGTGCTGCCGTAGAAGTCAGGGCTGCCCTGACAGTAGAGGCCCCCATGGGCAGCATTCAGCACGTGGGTGATGCCCAGCTTCCATAGCTCAAAGCGGTTATTTGCCGTGGCCCTGGGGAGGGGAGGAAGGGGAGCAATGAGGTCCAGGAAGGCTTTGTCTGGACCCCCGCTTCAGAGCGATGAATCCATTAGGGTCCAAAAGGAGCCAGAAGGAACCCATGGGGTCTGCGGCTCACAGCCCCACCATAGGAGCTTTCTGGTAGGGGAGCTGGTGGTCAAGGGATTTAGCTTTAGCCTCTCTTTGCTTCCTGAGGCAATCCACCCTTGCCTTGGCCAGGACAGGAAGGAAAAGGATTGCTTCGGCCCTGGGACCCAGCTGCACCTCCCTTCTTGCCCCATGCCCTACCATGCACATCTGGCCTCTCCTGGCCACTACCTCATACCTGCTTCTAATCTGCAAATATTGAAAGGTGACACCTCCCCTGATTCACCTTCAGTCAGCCTTCCTCACCCACTCTGTGTCCAGAGGAGGGAGGCTGGAACCGGAAAGGCGAGCTCTCTGTCCACCTCATCTCATTCCCCAAATCACCATTCCCCAGTCCTTTGCCCCCACACACACACACCCCGCCCCCCGCTGACCCTCCAGTTGTTCTGGATGTGCCAGGAGACTCCGGGAACCTCTGGGAGCTCCCTTCTTTCAGGCAGGCAAAGTCTCTGCTCCCCCTGGTGGCTGCACCTGCTCACTGCACTGTCCCCAGTACAGAGGGGTCCTGGAGAAAGTCCCTAGCCTGGGAAGCTCAGAGAACTATTGCCCTTGTACCCACCCCACCCCCATCTCTGGTGAAGATCCCAGGAACTGTCTCTCCTTGTCTCCACCCCCTTATCCCTTCAGTCAGCTACCACTCACGCATCTCCTATGTAAAGGTTGGGCCAAACTTCGTCCACGCGGCTGGAAGAAAACTTCCCTGCCCTCAGGAGCTCCTCTAGTTCCAGGACACTGGGGCAAGGCGTGACTTCGGCATCTCCCCTCAGCTGTGGGAGCGAGGCCTCCGCCATGGGCTGGCCCACCTGCCCCTCTGTCTCTGCGGTCCCTCCTCTCTGCCTCTCCAGTGTCATTCCTTTCCTAGAGATTGGCAGGGACAGGTGAGACAGCAGCAAGTGACTCAGCAGGTCACAGGGGCCTCTAGAGAGAACAGGACATTTTCCTCCCCAGGCCACCCCCTAACCCCAAATTCCATGACAACATGGAATCAGACATACCTCTGCAAGTCACCTCTCAGCCTCAGTTTCTTCACCTCTGACGTAAGGAGAATTGTGAGGATTAAATGAAACAAAGGATATTCTGCATCTAACACATAATAGGTGTTTAATAGATTTAAACTCCTGTGTAAGGCTATTTGGTTCTGAGGACTGAGTTAAAGTAGAGATCTGGGGTGCAGAGGAGGTGATTGCCTCCAAGGATTCGTGATAGGAAAAGTTCTTCAGGCCTGGGTCACAAACTAAGTGGGAGCTGTATGGCTATTGGATGAGCTTCTGGATTATGGGGCTCAGGGGAGGGTTCCTGAGTTATAGAGTCACAGAAAAGTGGCGAGGAGGCATGGAGGACCTCATCTAAAGGGTGCCCACAGGGTTTATTGGGGAAGGTTTGAACAGTGGTTCTGTTATGAAAATGGCTGATTTCTCAAAAGAGAAGGCTAAAATGGGCTGCATATGTCAAAGCGGGGGAGAAGGGAGATGAAAGTTCCCCTAGACTTTCTGAAGAACCAAAGGGCTGTCATCAGAAATATTTTGGGGAGAGGGAGGGAGAGTCCTCTGCCTATAAGGACTTTTGTCTTCACAACAGAAACAGAGAAAGGTCTGTATCTGTCCTTCTGCCAGAGCTAGTTATGGGATGAAGAAGTGATATGTCTTGCCGGCTCTCAGATGACTTCACAAAGGCTTGATCCGGGGCATGAGCTGCAGTGGGGAGGCTCCCAGCTGCCCCTGGCTTTGAGTCTGGCTCGAGCGTAAAGGCCACACCAGGGCATTCCATGGTAGCAGTTGGCACTCATGTCCACCCCAGAACCTGTCCCCACCCCCATCAGAGCCACTGAAGTCTGCCTTGCACCGCCTGGGAAACCAAGGCCAAGAAGCGGCTGGAGCCCAGGTCGCAGGTGGTTTTGGACTTGGTTTACGCCAATGCTAGGCCTGGGGTGGGGGCTTCCCTCAGGGTGGGGCAGTATAGTAAGGTGAGAAGAGCATAGGTTCTGAAGTCAGGCAGATTGAGTAGGAATACTGGCTTTGGCACATATTAACTGCCCAACGTCAGGCAAGTTTCTTGGCCCTCCTGTGTTGTAATACTCTGTAGAGGTGGCACAAGGATTAAGTGAGATATTTATATGGCATTTGGCATAGGGACTCTCAGAGTAAAGGGGCAATAAATGGTAACAGTGATTGGAGGTTGGCTATTGGTGAGGAGCTGGCTCCCTCCAAAGGCATTAGGATAACCTCCTCTGGCCCCCAAACACTATTTGCTGCTCCCATAGGCCCCGCCCCACCTCTGCTAGCCCCTCGTCTCACACTTCGGCTTTGGGCCTGACGCATGCGCTCTCGGGTTTCCTTGCTGCGGTTTCTAGTCTCCGTTCTCCCCTCGCGCCCATCTTGAGCCTCGCGTCCCTTCCGGTTTTGGCCCCGCCCCCGCCCTAGGGCTCCGCCTCCCGCCGGTAGGGCCCCGCCTCCCGAAGCAGTTCCGGTTCGGATTCGAGCGGCTGCTGGCGCGGGTGAGACGAGGGCCGACAGGGGCAATGCCTGCGCGCAGCCGCCACCGCCCCAGGGTCCTCTTCGGCTCTCCTACCCGGGCTCCACCGCCGCTTCTTGAGGCGTCTCACTCCGGCGAGGCTCGGAGGGCGCCGGCTTCCGACAGCTGCTCAGACGCCGACTCGGAGGTGGGGCTGGGGAGCCCGACTCGGACCGCTGAGGTGAGCAGGAGCTGAGGCGGGGAAGAGGGGCTTTGAGAGGCGCCTGCAGCCAAGGGTGAGTGGAGAGTCGGGGATGGAGCCGGGGGCTGCCACGGACAGGGATTCGGAGGGGCCTCGGGAGACCGTTGAGGGAGCGTGGAGAGTCCCCTTTAGCATGGAATCAGGGAAATGGAGGTTGTTGAGCCGAGGGCCCGAGGGGCGTGACGATGGCCCGAGACAGAGGGGTAAGGAGAGGTCGAGGGGAGAGCGAGAGGGAGTGGGAGGCTGAGGGAGATGTGGTCTCGAAGAGGCAGGGGCTTGAAGGTTTTGGAAAGCTGGGTAGTGAGGCAAAAAGACCGAAGGGGTACCGCGGGAATATGGGACCGGGGGAAGAGATGCTCTGAGATTTGGCACTGGGGGCACGGAATCAGAGGAGCCGGACCAGGGTCGATGTTACCACCTGGCCAGAGAGAGGGAACCGGGGTGGGACTGACAAGATCGCTGACCAGAGTGGGTGGTGGTAATTAGGGGAAGGATTTAGGCTTGAAGAGGAAAGGGCTATCGGGTGGCAAGTCGTCTGGCTTTAAAGGCCAGAAAAAGAGAAATGGGGTCAAGAAAGAAAAGGAGCCCTTGGAGGCTCTAATTTAGGGCTTTGGCGTTTTCACAGGTGTCTTTCAAAGCATGGACGATCACTAGGGTAATATATTTGGGTCATGGGGCTTTCTCATTTGTGGACAGTGAATACTTTTAAGAATCTCGGGTGGGAGGGTTGATGTTAAACACTGATTTGCCCAAAGGACTAGGGGAGGTAGTGAAAAGGAAGTGATGTTTGGAAAAGATAGTGAAAGGAGTGATTCTGTAAATAAAGATAATCATTTGGCTTTCTTCTAACAGTAATAGTGTGTTTCTTTTTTTTTTCTTTGTATTTTTCTTACATTTAAGTTTATCTTAAGTACCAGACAAGTTTAGACAATCTTTTTTCACAAAAAAAGATTTAATATATTACCTTTAAATTAAAAAAACTAAACTGGAAACAAGAATTTGGACACTTAGATTTTACAGATACTCAGTATCAACTGAATTTCACTTTGGTAGCTTGAGTTGACACGTATTGGCCACAGGGTAAAGACGTGGTCAATACAAGTGTCTGGGTTAAAAAGGTACATAAAACTGTATGTGAAATCACCACAGTCCAGGAGGCTACCAGATGTTCCTCTCACCTGTAACTCCAGAATTGGAGTTGTGTCTTGAAAATTGGAAGGAGGGTACCTTGACAGATTTGCAGGACCAATGCTTTGCAGATACTGTATGAATAATACTTTTAGTAGAGTTATCTAGAAGACTAAGAATAGAGGATGCTTGTAGTTGTCAGTTAACAGAACTGGGATAGGTGGGTACACAGATGCCTTTTATAGAAGACATCGTACCAAAACCATAATTATGCCAGAAAAATAATGATTGCAGTATTTATACTGTCTTTAGTTGAAATAGATTAATTTTCTTTTGTAATTGTTAAATTATAGCATGTCTTTGTGAAATGTTGACTTTAGCCACGTCTCATATGTTGTTTTACTTTTACAACCTTTTATCCTATTATAGGTTTGCAAAGTTGTTGGCATTTCAAAACAAACTTTTAATCAAGTATTTCTAGTCTAAATGGGTATCCAACGGTTAAATCTTCATGAGATGATAATTTACTGATTGCAGCAAGCTGTTAAATTAATTTATGTGTATTGACTGTATGTCATATCTTCAAATGCTCAGTAGACTAATAATTATTTCTTCAAAGGAGAGATGAATTCTTAACTTTGCTTTTAGCTGATGTTAAAAGATTAACTCCTTTTTCTTTAAATTAATACAAACATCCTTTAGTTGAAGAAGTATATATAGTATTACTATTGTTTATTTATGTTTGTTTACTCTCACTAGACTGAGATTCTCTAGAGACCTTGTCTTCATACTTAGCTCTAAATAAAAGTCTTGGCATGTAAAAATTTGCTGAACTGAACCGAAATATAAGAACTCTCTATTAAGGTTACATCTTAATGTTACTGCAAAATTAAAGAAACTGTTACATGAATTTGTACAGTTAATACATTAGCCTCCCTAATAGTTTTTGTCTTGACAGTTTTCACAGCCACTTAGTTGTAAATAAAATCAGTTTTATGGTAGAGCAGTTTCTCTAAGGCAAGAAAATCTATATTACTCCATTAGAAGCCATTATGACTGCTGTGGCAGAAGATGCAGATATATTTAGATAATCACTTTTGATTTCAGTAGCGTCATCGCCATTTTGCAAAGACTTTACTTTGCACAACTACTTGTAAACATTTTTATTTTGTTAATCACTAATATCTTCAATGCTTTTTCAGAAGTTTGCCATAGCTGACTTAGAGACATTTTCATGACTTTTCTGAGAAATGAAATTTGAACATTGTTTTTGGGAAAATGTTGAATCACAGATGTTCTAATGAATATCATCATTATTATTTTGTCTTATAAGAATAACCGTATTAACTAGTTATTCTTTCAAAATTCTTACCTCTAGCCCTGATGTAATACTATGGTGTTAATAGTAGGATGTGGGCTTCCCTGGTGGCGCAGTGGTTGAGAGTCCGCCTGCCGATGCAGGGGACACGGGTTCGTGCCCCAGTCCGGGAAGATCCCACATGCCGCGGAGCGGCTGGGCCCGTGAGCCATGGCCGCTGAGCCTGCGCGTCCGGAGCCTGTGCTCCGCAACGGGAGAGGCCACAACAGTGAGAGGCCCGCGTACCGCTAAAAAAAAAAAAAAAAAGTAGGATGTACCTAGCACAGCCATTAATCATAACAGTGATTCTTACTTTAGGTCTTATGATTCTCTTGGCTTTGAGAAATCAGGAGGTTAACTAGAAACTAGAGGAGCATGGGCCAGGCATCCTTTGAGAACAATTCAGTGTTTACATGCTGCCTTTGTCACTGGTAATTTGCCATTTGAATATGTGGATATGGATTTGTGACAGACCTGTACCCCCTCCTCCCATACACATAGCACCATCATAAGTGGATCTTAACCTAGCTGAGTCTAGACTTCAGGCTTCCATATTTGAAATGTTTTGTTACTTCACTAAATGCTGGGCCCTACTAGTAATAAAATCACCTCACTGCAGAATGTAACATAATATGAGTCTATCTTGGCTTTTGTTTAGGATGGTAGAAACTAGGAAAACTTGGTCATAATAGTTTCGGCACGGTGTTTCACCGTTAAACAGTGTTTTATGTTATGTACCTTAGAAGAATGTTGTGGAGGCAGAGACCTATGTTTGTATTTGTCTTGAATATCTATTGTGGGCTTAGTGTAGCTTTTGAATTGTGGCTGAGGACAAGAGATTTATTTATTTATTTATTTATTTTATTTTCTGAGATTTGGCACTGGGGGCGAGGAATTATTATTTATTTTATTTTTGGCTGCACTGGGTCATCGTTGCTGCGCGCAGGCTTTCTCTAGTTGTGGAGAGCGGGGACTACTCTGTTGCGGTGTGAGGGCTTCTCATCGCAGTGGCTGCACTGTTTTGGAGCATGGGCTCTAGGTGCACAGGCTTCAGTAGTTGTGGCACACGGGCTTAGTTGCTCCGCGGCATATGGGATCTTCCCGGACCAGGGCTCTAACCCGTGTCCCCTGCATTGGCAGGCAGATTCTTAACCACTGCACCACCAGGGAAGCCCTATATCTATTATCTTGACCCTTTTTTCTGTTCTCTTAAAGTTCTTGACAGGTAAGAAATTCTAGTAGGAGGTGAGAACCATGAATTCTGCTAATTTAGGGTCTTCCTGTAAGTTAAGCTGTGTCACTGAGTTATTGGAAATGCCTGCAAATTGGCTTTAGTGTGGAACTTATAAATCTATGTCAGTTTCATCAAGACAACATTGGTATGAAAGTCAGAGATTGCCAGACCATACATTAAATTTTGAGGCCAAATCCAGTATATTTGCACAATATTGTAATGGAGTTTGAAGTCTTGAGCAAGTTTCTCATTTTCTATTATGTTGATTTGATTTGGGGGTGTAGCATATTTAAAAATGAAGATTTTTACCAGTCAATCTGTCAGAACACTACTAGCCTGCCCAAATATTATTTTAATGATTAGAATAAAAATTTGAATTTTATATGCTTGGCTTCTTTACTGGTGTGCGTTAAGGATTTTTCATCAAACTTACCACTAAATTTTGACCATTGTGTAAAAACTTTTACTACAACTGAGGATATAACCTGCACAATGTTGTCTGTTAGATTCTTATTCATTGAACTGAGACAGTTCTGAATGTGGTACAGAATTAGGTACAACCAGATAGTGGAAGTCTTAGTTTAAAGGCAAGTTGGAGTCAGAAAAGGTTTGTGTTCTTTGGTATACATGGCAACCTTTTTTAATAACGGTATATAATAGTGCATGGTCTGTGCAGCAAAAAAAATGTCCCAAGGCTAAAGTGCAGCCAGTAGAATGATAATGTAACTGAAGAAACAATTTAATTTATTTCAAATATGCTACCCCAAATTCTGCTGCTCAGTGGGACATAGTAAAACGGTAGAAGATCACTGCTAGAGTTTCAAAACTGGTAGGAAGTGGTTCTGGGTCTTTGAAGCTGTTTTGTAATTATAGCAGATTCAGATACTTGGAAACAGTGCTTACTAAGAAAAAGTAAACTACCTTTTGATAACTATAAAGGGAAAATAATAGTTTTTTGTTTGCTCAATGAAAATATTTTAATTTAGGATTAAAAAATTTTAATGGGATTTTTTTTAAAGCTGCATAGGGACTTCCCTGGTGGTGCAGTGGTTAAGAATCCACCTGCCAGTGCAGGGGACATGGGTTCGAACCCTGGTCTGGGAAGATCCTACATGCCACGGAGCCACTAAGCCCGTGTGCCGCAACTACTGAGCCTGTGCTCTAGAGCCCCTGAGCCACAACTACTGAGCCCGAGCGCCACAACTACTGAATCCTGCGCACCTAGAGCCCATGTTCCACAACAAGAGAAGCCACCACAATGAGACGCCCGCACTCCACAACGAAGAGTAGCCCCCGCTTGCCACAACTGGAGAAA